TTTATCATTCCTGGACCACAACATGATACTGATTTGCGACAGAAGTTGGAAGCCAGTGACAACTTATCGATTATATCACCACGCTTTGGCCTCAAAGTCTCGGTGGTACGCAACTACAAGTACTTGGGCACTATGCTAGACCACCGGGGTCTTCTTGGGCCGCGTGCCGCACATTCTATTAGCAAGCAGGTTTCTGCTCTCGGACCTATCCGCCGTATGTGCTCAAGGTTCAGCCACATGTCACTGCCCGCGAAGACGAACCTTGTCGATACGATGGCCAACGTCCACCTGATGTACTTAGTGGAGGTTTGGGAACATGCTCCAAGTACGCTGTTGCACAAGTTGGACGGACACCGACTGCTAGCATATCGGGCAGTTCAGGGCCGACTACACAGTGTTCACTCCCAGCGTTTCACCGACGACGAGGTACTTTCGGCAGCCAGAAGGGTAAGGTTCGAGCATCTTATGCGGAAGAAGCGGTTGGTTTACTTCGGATCACTGCTACCTCAGGCTCCCCACGCCCTGTGGTGCTTACTTGATCAAGTTGCTTCGCTTGCTGGCTCCTGGCTCTCACTAGTTACGTCTGATCTCGAATGGTTGGCGAGTCTCGACAAGGAAGGTTCAAGACTCGATTGGTCGCTTCAGCGTTGGTTCCAGTTTGCATCGTCCCATCCGAAGGATTTCCGTAATGCAGTCAAGCGTGCGTGGAGACTCTTCGAAGCGTCTGAGCTGGAGCGGCTGCAGGTGTGCTGTTGGGGCCGACTACTGGCTGGAGCTCGGGTTGGTATCGACGCCCAGGTCGCTCACGAGGACAAGTTTGTGTGCTACGAGTGCGGCTGGTGTACAATATCGAAGGCTGCTTGGAGGAAACATCAGTTAGACCACCAGCCGATAGACCTCGCGCAACGAGTGGCTCGTGGTACGCAATGCGGTGCCTGCGGCACACGATTCGGGGACCGCTCGAACCTCCTACGCCATCTACGTCGAGCAGGTAATCGCTGTGTCAGTTGGCTCGAGTTGAATGGAGACATGTTGCTGCCCGCTGAAGCAGAACAGTTGCGACAAGAGGATTTAGTTCGCGAAAGAGATTTGATACACCGTGGTTACAATTATCGACGAGTTTTCAAGCATGCAGTGAGGACTGTAAATGGTGGAGGTCGAGGAGACCCGTATTACCCAGTCTCACCGCCAGTAGTGAGGGTCGAGGTACGGCCCCCAATCCCACCTCTCAGGCGATTGAGAGTCGCGTGCTGTTACCCGATGAAGTTCTATTATCTTGGTGGTTGGGATGCGACGGCAATTGATGTGTGTACTTGGTTGCAGCAGCTCTTGGGTCATTCGGTACAAATGGTGCGCATTCCTCTATTTGGCGACGATGGTGAGCGCACTCTTTTGGCTCAGAAGACAATAGAGGGGATTGTGGACGAGATGTGTCAGGGCAGGGTACTGGCAATTATGCTGGCTCCGTCGTTGACATCATGGACTCAGTTTGACGGGCAGCCTGGTGTTTCACGTCCCCGAAGATCTGCTGACCATCCCTGGGGCTTACCTCAGCTTGGTGAAGATGCACGTCGGACAGTTTTAATTGAGAACAACTACCTGCGATCAAGTTGGAGGTTGCTGGAGGCTGCATCGTTCACAGGTGTGCCAGCGGCTTTTATCTCCCCTTCTGGTGTACTGTCCAACATTAAGGGTGCCGTAGACTCGATTGCCTCTTCGATTGGGAAGTATCTGGAAGAATGTCGCATTGATTTGTGTATGATGGGCTCCTCTGCGCGTGGGGCAGTCACACTGATTACTGCGCACATGTATCTGGAGCTGGAGCTGAGTGGTCATTATTCCAGATATCGTTGTGATCATCATGCTCATGCAGCTGTTTCTGAGGATGGCACTGGTGAATGGCCAGTAGGTCTCTCGCGCGTGCTTGCCCGTGCGCTGGCGCATGCCAGCATTCCTGTGCTGGCTGCCTCAGTGGCCTGTCGGACAGCGGCGACTTGATTCTTACCCCTTCTTGATGGCGATGGTGGCGATCGTTTCGTTGTCTTGTCCCCTCGTCCAACTCTCTGGCTGTCAAATGCTTGGTGTACGAGGCACTGGGTGGTGAGCCCCACGGCCGCTCTCCCTCGTCTTAGCCCTCCGACCTGGAGCGCCACGTTCTCGTTCTTGGAAGGTCGGCTCCCGAGCAGGGATGGCAGCTTGCGCTTGCTTGACTGGCACTGTTTCTGCTGAGAGCTCGGCGACCTCATTTCAGGGTCTTTTTCGCCGAGTCTCGAGGCGCCTGGAAGGAGGTGTGGAGGTTCTTCGAGGACTGGAGGCTGGTGGTGGTGGAGGAGATCGTGTCGCCACCCCCTTGGCGGCCCCTCGTGTACGAAGGCCGTACTCGTGTTCTGCGCTACCAAGGAGTAGTTGGACTATCGAGGGGCCGACCAAGGGGGGGGGCCGTGTGGCCTTCTGCTGGGGACGGGGAGGGCACGGGCGGCGCAAGTGGTAAGGCGGGTGAAACAAACCGTCGAGCGCCACCCCAAGCCTCCCCGTCCCCCAATTCGTGCTGAGCCCACTCGTCGTCCTGGCGGCGCGCCACCAGGGGCGAGCCTGATCCTCTCCTTCCTCACTGTATTGATCCTCCTCACCTTGCTCTCCCTCTCTCGAGTGCAGCCCATTCGAGAGACGCATGCTGGAGCTGGCGAAGGGCGTGGTTCGAGTTCGTTGCTCTTTGTGGAGGTTACTGTCCGTCATGTACCCGCCAGCTCCAGAGTGCGCCTGCCTTGCCAGGAGGGTGTCCTCCATACTGTGCATGCGCTTTGCTTGCCATCGAGCGCTTGGCTAGGCCGCCTCCAGTATGTGTGTGGAGGAGGCGCCAGGCCAGGCGCTCACTGACGCTACAGGCGGTGGACCGCCTCGGAGCTCGGCTAAGAAAAAAAGGAGGAGTAGGAGAAGACAAATGAGGACAAGGCTATCTCTCGATGGAGAGACCTGGGACTTGAGAGGCAAACAAATTCGAAATCCAGAATCAAGGGGATGGTGCATTCTCTGTGTTATCTCTCTTTCGTCCCCTTCTCTCCGCTTTCACTCCTCTCCCTTCCGTCCCATCATTCCCCCTCCTCCCTCCTCTCTCATCTCTGGCCATTCCCTCTCATCATCTCTTCTCCCCTCTCCCTCCTCCCTCCTCTCCTCTCCTCTCCCTCCTCCCTCCTCCTCCTCTCCCTCCTCTCCCCCCTCCCTCCTCCCTCCTCCTCCCTCCTCCCTCCTCCCTCCTCTCCCTCCCCTCTCCCTCCTCCCCTCTCCCTCCTCTCTGCTTCCTTCCCTCCCCCTCTGTGCTCCCTCCGGCCCCCCCCCTCTTCTCCCCTGACCCCGGCCCGAATCCCAACCCTGGCACCACCATACCCTGTCCTCTGCTCCCCTGCCCTCCTCCCTCCTCCTCCTCCTCCTCCTCCTCCTCCCTCCTCCTCCTCCTCCTCCTCCTCCTCCTCCTCCTCCTCCTCCTCCCTCCTCCTCCTCCTCCCTCCTCCTCCTCCTCCTCCTCCTCCTCCCCTTCCGTTCTCCTTCCCCCTTCTCTCTGCCAGCTCTCATTCTCCTCACCGCCCTCGTCGGTTCGCACTCCGGCAACACTTCGGACACGGCCCTCGTGATATGCGTTCCCTCCCTTCCTCCTGGTCTCTACGCGTGTCTTTGATGATCCCGAGCGGAGCCCGAACCACCCCCCCCACAAACAAAAAATCCCCCTACCCCTCTGGTCCTGTTACCATCGCCCGAGAGTGCACGGAGGGATCCTCCTCCCGGCAGGTTTTCCGAAGGCCCGAGAAGTATCGAGACCGCTCAGATCCTCGACCCCTCGACCATTGTCGCCCCCACAGTCTGCATATCGGCGACTTGCGCTCCCCTAGTGAAGAACGGCGATCGTCAGTCGAGGCGGAATGAAAAGTCTCAGTCTCATAGCTGGCATCCGCTCTACATCCACGACTTCCCTTTCCCCCCGGCCACCCAGCCCCCTTGGCCCACACTCTCTCACATCATTCAGTGGTGCGTGCGTACGGGTGTATACAGCGGAGCAGGGGCTGGGTGATGCCCATCTGGTGGCCGTGCCGCGAGTGAGCCCTCGACGAGAAGCAGCGCTGCACGGGCGTCAGTCCAGAACACAGCCGAGAAGCCGAGACACGGGCCGCGTCGAGCTCGGCTGGGTCACGCCCTCGGGGCGCGAAGATAGCCACGCTTCGCGCGTCGCGGGCCAGAGGAGGGAGGAGGGAGGAGGGAGGAGGAGGAGGAGGAGGAGGAGGAGGAGGAGGAGGAGGAGGAGGAGGAGGCGAAGCGAGGGCGCGGAGGGCGCGGAGGCGAGGGCGCTTCGCCAGGCGCGGGGCGCGGAGTTGGGGTGGCCCCGGCGCGGGAGGGGCTCGGGCTGGCGGGCCGCAGGTCGGGCGGGGCTCCTGCTCGTGGCCGAGGCGTCGCCGTGGCCGGGGGGTCCCCGCTCGTTCTCCTCCTCCTCCTCCTCCTCCTCCTCCTCCTCCTCCTCCTCCTCCTCCTCCTCCTCTTCCTCGGTCGGGCACGCCCTGTGCGCAGCACGGAGGCTGCAGGATCCCAGCGCGTCAGGGACTGGGCCGCGCGTCGGGAGGGCGCTCAGATCTGGGCGCCGTCGAGGAAGGGAAGCACGGCCAGCGTGCCAACGGGGCCCTCGCTGATCGCTCCTGGCTGAGAGGTGCCGCGCAGAAATCAGGGGATCGAGAGTTCCAGCCGTGTTCTTGTCTCGCGACGTCTCAGGATCTTGTTCACGGCGTCGGATCTGCGAGGCCAGAGAACGGACGTGGATTCTCAAGGAAAGCTATACAAACATATGATGTTATATGTTCGGAGGTCCCCGCGGATCTCTTGGATCGGCGCTGGGCCCCCTGGCGGCGCCTCCGGCGCCGCCCCTGGCGCGCTCCGTGCACCAGGGAGGGGGCTCCAGCGTCCAGTTTGTGTGTATGCAGCTTCCCTGTTGCTCTACAGTCGAGCGCGCGTGGGCGCAGGAATTGTATATTTTCGCCTTGTATTCTTACCGGCTGGGTGCGCTGACAAGCTTGCGTTTCGTTGTTGGTGCTGTTTCACACGTTTGCCTTTTCTTGTCTTGAGTAACATACCGCGTTGTTGCGCATCGTGTTTGTGATCGTGTGCCTTCACACGACAGGTTGTCATTGTCTAGCATCCAGTCGAGGGGGAGAGCGATGTTTGGTTGCGACGGACAGCATCATCTTCTCTCAACATAGTGGTTGCCGCTGACGTGTCCAATAATGCTGTCGTGACAACCAGCGTTGAAACTTATGAAGTTGATATCCACACTTTGTCGCACGTTTTTTCTCTCTCTCTCTCTCTCTCTCTCTCTCTCTCTCCCTTTCCCTCTCTACATCTCTCTCTCTCTCTTTCTCTCGCTGTGCTTCCAGCTCCCCAGGCGTGCAGCATTTATTTATGCGGCTGCCTGAAGGTTTATTTCAACCGAGGTTTTTACAAGTTCCAGCGGACGGGGGCGCAGCATTCAACGTGTATTCATTTTGTATATGGACATGTGTGGCCACGCCTAGAACGGCTTGTGCGTTCTATTGGTGGTCTGGGCGCCTTCAAAGGTTCATGCGCCGCGCGCTGTGAGCGGTTGCCACCCTGGCCACGTCAATGGTGTGTGTATTCTGACATTGTCGCGCGTGTGAAAGGCGTCTGGCACGCCTCGTGTTTGAAGCATACTGTGCGTTCCTTTGGGCTGCACGTTGTCGGCTTAGCCTGGCATTCTCATGGAGCTTGGCCTTTGGCACTCCCCCATTGGGGCCCCGCCTGTCGGCTTGGCCCTGGCGCGTGGCGACGAAAGCCGTCACCCGGTCGCCTTCTACTGCGACGGTATGCCCCTCACGCTGCTCAAGTTCAAGTGCACCATCTTCGGTGCCCGAGGCCGCCCACGCGACGCTCACTTGCCGACTCGGCGGTTGGGCCCTTCGCGGCCGCCCTCTTCGTTTCTGCCCGCTCTAGCGCCCTTGCTCGGCACGCCCTCGCCGTTAACGACATCCACTCCCGCGTCTGCTGGCGTTGCCGATGGAAGGGAAGTTTGTAGCATGTGGGCAGCGTAATCCGCCTTTGAGGAGGTCGCAGTATGTCACCACCCACCAAACCACCCCAACCCAACCCGAAGGCTCAGATTTACCCTCGATTTCTAGTGGGGGGGGGTCCGGGAACACCGAAAAAAAACATGTGGAGCCCATACCCTCCCCAACCCGAAATTCGGGTCTTCGGGTTGGGTTGGGGTGGTCTGGTAGGTAGTCAGTATGTCCACGGTGCGCCGAATCCGTAGTTTTCATCCCTGCCGTAGATCTCCCGCGGACGGTGCTCAATGAAGTCGAGTGGCTTCCCGCGTGTGCGTTCGCCGTCGTCCGCGTGCCTCTCGTTCTCTCTCGTCTCCCCGTCCGCCGCCGCGCAGCACGCACTGCCGGGGGCCAGCGCTGCTGCGCGGGTCGGGCTCGGAAGGGGCTCGTAGGGAGCAGGAACAGGGGGGCGAGGGACGCGGCAGGTGGGCCAGGGACGGGGGAGACGGCAGGAGGACCAGGCAGGAGGGAGGCAGCAGGAGGAGCGAGGGGGGAGGGAGACGACAGGAGGAACAGGCAGGAGAAGGCATTGGGGAGGGACGGGAGGAGAGAATGCTCGAGGTGGTTGGGAGGGAAGGGATGGGGAGGGCAGAACGAGCAGGGAGGGAGGGGAGGAAAGAACAGCGGAAGGAGGAGGCAAAGGGGAGGTTCTGTTGTTGTTTCTGCAGATGTTGCGGCTGCTGGTGGGACTACAACGACAAGTCTTTCCCACCCAACAGCAGCTCACTTGGAGGGATCGCCGGGGCAGGAGACGGCCGAAGCAAGAGGAAGTGGAGGAAGAGGTGCACGAGGAAGAAGCCTTCACGAAAGTATTAGATATTCATACACACACAATAGCCTTCGGCCCATCCCGCCACCGAGTCTGGGTTGTGGGTCACAGGCCTCTAGGTTGTTCGTTGGGGTGTTTGCCTCTTTGGGTTCTTTTGGGAGGCCTCTTGGAGGCCTCTTGGGGGGCTCCTGGGACCTCTCGGGGACCTCTTGGGGGCCTCTTGGGGCCTCCTGGGGGCTTCTTGGGGCCGCGGGCTCCAAATGTCAGTTGGGGGGGCCTCCTGGGCCGTCTTGGAGGCGTGGGAGTTGTTTTGGGGGCCTCTTGGGCCGTCTTGGAGGAGGCCTTTCGGAGCGTCTTGGAGCGCTCTTGGTCTGTCTTGGGGCCGTCTTAGGGGGTCTTTGGGGCCGCCTGGGGGCGGCCTCGGGGGATTCTTGGGCCGTCTTGGAGCGCCGGAAAGTCGAAAACGCGAGTACTCTTACAAGCGTCCTTGGGGCGAAAACGTCTTGGGCCTTACAACCCATGGAACGCTTGAGTGTTGCCTCTTGAGGCTCTCTTGGGACGCATCTTGAAGGCCTCTCAGGGCCTTCTTGGGCCGTCTGGGGGGCGGTCTTGGGCCGTCCAGAAGCGCTCCTAGACCGTCTTGGGCGCTCGGGGGGGAGCTCCGAGACGCCCCGAGCCAAGCGCGCCCAGGGAATGGGTGGCCCCAGCCCTTAAGAAATCGTTGGCGCTTCGCGTACCCCCCACAAGTAGCCCCGCGGGCGCTTCGGAGTGGTTCAGCCTTCCGTCTCACGCTGCGCTTCCCCCTTGGATCCGCCCCAGCCATTCAGGCAGGTCTACGACGTCACTTCGGTGGCTCAGCCCACCTGGCTACTATACGCCGTTGGCGGCACGGTCCTGGACGTGGCGCCCCGCTGGCGACTCGTTCATCGTTCACCTCGCCTTCGCGACCACCAGGCGTGAGAGGGGTGTAGGCATCAATCAGCTCGCTTACGTTCTCGCCTCCACAGAGTGGTCCACGCCGCAGGGCGTACATCGAATTCCCTGGCATTTTGTTCAGGGCTGCGCGATGCCTGAGCTTCCCTGGGTGCCCTCAGCCAGTCAGCCCTCACCCTGCGGCTCAGCAGCCGCCTCGTGAGCTGGCCCAGCCGGCCCGTTCCGCGCCCTGTAGCTAATTAGGCCTCTTTCCGTGCCCCGGACAGCTTCTGTCTCCGCCTGCGCTTTCGCTCGCGGACGCGACCGGAAAAGTATCCCCACAAGTCTGCAGCGTTCCCTGGTTGCTGGTTACGGCAGGTTCGCGTCGTGTCGACTCGCGGCGACCCCAGCGCGGGCGTTCAAGGTTGAACGCCGCCGGCGACCCAGAATCGATCGATGTTGAACGATTGGACGTTGCGGACACGGTGTCAAAAACCAACGCTGGGGTCGGCACGACACGAACCCGCCGTACCCTGGCCGCCCGCTGCTCCGACCAGTTGCGCGCCACTTTGGCAGTAATGGTGACCCGGCTACCGCCTATTTAAAAACTCGACGGCTCGCCGCTGAGGTGCTGCGTGAGGCTCTGGTCCACCGCTTTAGGTCAATTCGTCTGTGCGCGCTCCGCTCTGACTGGACTCGCCGCTGGCGCGCTCGCCTACGGCCGCTGACTAAAAAAATCTCACAGGTGTGACCTCCGGCTTCTGCTTGTAGCACGACCTTTCCGATGCCGCGCGGGTGCCCGCTCGCGGTCGCGATCAAAAACGTATCCCCACAAGCCCATCCATAAACGATGCCCAGGAGAGTTGAGGTAATCAGGGAAGTGGGGGAGCATGCAGAAGAACAGAGAGTGGGGGAAGCCGTCCGATACCCCAAGAAGGGGAGGATGGTGGAGGAGAAGGAGAAAGAGGAGGAGGAGGAGGAGGAGGAGGAGGAGGAGGAGGAGGAGGAGGGCGAAGAGGAGGAATGAGGAAAAGACAATGGACAAGGAGAATGAGGAGGAGGAGGAGGAGGAGGAGGAGGAGGAGGAAGAGGGGCATGTTGGCGAGCTCAGGGCCATCTTTGAGCGTCTTGGGTGCCTCGGGCATCCTCTCGAGGCCTCTTGTGGGTCTCTTGGAAGCCTCTTTGGAGACTTCCTGGACGCCTCTTGGGGCCGAGTGGGCGCCTCTTGGGGCCATCTTGGGGCGCTCTTGGGAGCTTCCAGGGCGTTTTTTGGGGGGCCATCTTGGAGGATATCGATCAAAACAAGGGTTCCCAATTTGCCCCCCCCCCCCCCCCTCCCCGGGGAGCTTCAAAAGTCGCCTCTCGGGGCGCTCGTGGGGCGGGGCGCTCTTGGAGCGCTCTTAAGCGTTCTTGCGGCCGCCTTGGGGCTCTCGTGGGTCGCCTGGGCCCCTCTTGGACCATATTGGAGCCATCTTGAGGCCTCGGATGGCCACCGGAAGCAAACAGGCGAGAAAGTAAGCAACAACACATTGATTGTCCTTACGTGTTGGAAGGATGTGTTTTTTTTTAGGCCTCCTTGGAGGTCTCGGAGGCGTCTTGGAGCCGTTTTGGAACGTTTTCAGGGCCTCTTGGAGCATCTTGGGAGCCGATTGGAGGCATTTTGGGCTATGTTGAGCCATCTTGGAGGTCATCCTGGGCTCTCTGAGTCCCTCTTGGGGCCATATTGGGCGATTAAGTACCCTCTGATACCTCGCGGGGCGCCTGTCCAGGTACAGGGGATGGGGTAGGGGGGAGGGGTAAACCTCTCCCCGAAGGGAAGAAGGGGGTTGGAAGAGGAACTTCCGTAAACCACCTACGCCCAGAGGGCTGGTAGGACTACACTGTGAGCTGCAGCAGCAGCACATATGTGAGCACAATCCTGGCTGTGCCAGATGATCGGTGGCGGATCTGATGCATACAGTTGTACATGTATATATATATATATATGTATATATGCATGTATGTTTGTTGGTTTGTTTGTTTGTTTGTTTGTTTGTTTGTATGTATGTATGTATGTATGTATGTATGTATGTATGTATGTATGTACTTGTATATATGTATGTGTGTATGTATGTATGTATGTATGTATGTATGTATGTATGTATGTATGTGTGTGTATGTATGTATGTATGTATGTATGTATGTATGTATGTATGTATGTGGGTGTGTATGTATGTATGTATGTATGTATGTATGTGTGTATGTATGTATGTGTGTGGTTGTGTGTATGTATGTATGTATGTATGTATGTATGTATGTATGTATGTATGTATGTGTGTGTGTGTATGTATGTATGTATGTATGTATGTATGTATGTATGTATGTATGTATGTGTGTATGTTTGTATGTATGTATGGATGGGTATATATACACATACACACACGCATTCCCTTTCATATAGTTTTACTGATCATGGGGATGCGACCCTCCCCACCAAACGGGACCCTCGGCGTCCAGGGCTCCTGGACGCCACCTCAGAAGGTCCCGCGAGATCGTGCACACGGGTCGGCTGCGGTCCCAAGAGACCCCCAAGACAGTCCAAGATGGCCTCCAGCAGCCCCAGACCTCCGCCAGACGCCCGAAGACGGACCAAATATCACTCCCAAGAGGTTTTCGGATCGCAGGAAATGGGATTTCCTGTTGATTTCTGTATGGTGATGGGCTGTTCGGTTCTTTTGGTTTCCCGGCATCCGAGAACGCCCGAGAGTCACCGACAACCATTCCAAGACGACCCAAAAAAAGCTTCCTGACACCCCAAGAGAGCCCGAAGACCGCCCAAGAGGGTTCAGAATCTGCCCACAGATGGTCCTTTGACGGCCCAAAATTGTCCCACGACGCCTTCCAGAAGAATTCAAACCATAACCCGAGTTCGCGGCACGGTGGCCCGAGGAACCCCCCAGAGGCCACCGATAGGCACCAGGGACGTCTCCAGAGGCGTTCAAGGAGCCCCTAAAAAAAGCTCTCGCAGGTCCCCAGGAAGCTCGCCTCGGAGGAGCCTCCGCAAACAAATCTGAAGAAAACGGGGAAGGATGTTTGGCACAATTAAGGCGAGAACGATGAAGAGGCGGAGGACGAGGAAGAGGAAGAGGACAAGTGAGGGAAGGAGAAGAAACAACAATACGCAGCACCCCGCAATTGCGGATAAGTGTGAGGGGGCGGGCGCGGGCGCCGGTCAACGATCAACGATGAGCCGGCGGACCTCGTGGCCCTCACCTTCCCTGTCGATGGCGCCCTCCTCTTCCTCCTCCTCCTCCTCCTCCTCCTCCTCTTCCTCGTCCGCGTCCTCGTCCTCATCGTCGTCGTCGTCGTCCACCTCCTCCACCTCCTCCTCTTCCTCCTTTTCCTTTTCCTCCACCTGGAAGGAATTCAAAAACAGCCCGCCGCAGGCGCCGGAAATTTTGATTTGTACACTGAACGCGGTTTGGGTCGCAGGTTCTCCACCTGGTACGAATGCAAAAGAAACCCGCCGCAGTCGCCGAAGTTTTGGCTTGTTCAGTGAACGTAGTTTGGGTCGCGGGTGGGTCGCGGGCTCTCCAACTCCACCTGGAAGGAATTCAAAAGCAGCCCACAACAGGCGCCGAAAATTTTGTTTTGTACACTGAACGCGGTTTGGGTCGCGGGTGGGTCGCAGGTTCTCCACCTGGAACGAATGCAAAAGAAGCCCGCCACAGGCGCCGAAAATTTTGGGTGGGTCGCGGGGTGGGTCGCGGGTGGGTCGCGGGTGGGTCGCGGTGGGTCGCGGTGGGTCGCGGGCGCGGTTTGGGTCGCGGGTGGCTCTCACGGAACAAAAAAAGAAACCGCCGCGGGGTCGCGGGTCGCGGGGTGGGTCGCGGGTGGGTCGCGGGGGTCGCGGGTGGGCGCGGGGTCGCGGTGGCGGGTGGGTCGCGGGGAGGTCTCGGGTGGCTCGCGGGCGGGTCGCGGGGCGGGTCGCGGGTGGGTCGCGGGGTGGGTCGCGGGTGGGTCGCGGGGTGGGTCGCGGGTGGGTCGCGGGGTGGGTCGCGGGTGGGTCGCGGGTGGGTCGCGGGGTGGGTCGCGGGTGGGTCGCGGGGCGGGTCGCGGGTGGGACGACGACAACAACAAACAACAAACAACAAACAAGAAACAACAATCAACAAACAACAAACAACAAACAGCAAACCAACAACCACCAACAACAACAACAACAATCCGCATCGCGGAATTCCACTTCAGCCACGCACCCAGGGACAGTGAATGACCGTTCGGTTCAGCCCCCTCACTCTGATCATAACGGTGATGGCGAAAACTGCACCCGAAAGCGATCGTTGTTTTGATTGATCTTCTTCTCTCTCATTACGCTTGCAAGTAAGACGTGAAGGACCACGGTGCACGGCGCGAAGCGCCAGTGCAATCTTTCTATATGAAAGAGCGCGTTCTGTGGACGCCTGGAAGGGGCGGCCCCGAGATGCAAAGGGGGGGGTTCGAACCGGGGGTCCCCCTCCCCTCAAGGGGGGGGGGGTCGAACTAGGTGGAGGGAGGGCCCTGAGTTGCAGGGGGGAGGGGTTCGAACTGGGAGAGGGGCCCACCCCTCTCTGTCCCCGGGGGGGGGTTCAAACCGGGGGGGAGACCCCCCTCCTTTGTCCAAGGGGGAGGGGTTCGAACCAGAGGGCCCCCCCATCCCTCGAGCTGCACGGGGGGGGGTTCGAACCGAGGTGGGGCCCCGCCCC